AAAAAAAAAAAAAAAAAAAAAAAAAAAAAAAAAAAAAAAAAAAAAAAAAAAAAAAAAAAAAAAAAAAAAACGCAAAATAGTACTAATTTTCTTGAGAAAATTTGGTAGGTGGATTAAGGAAATAATACATTATTGTCAATGTTGTAATAAAGTTTCAGTTCAAAAGCATTTTAAATAATATGCCTTTTAGTTGTGATGATTTTAGAAATGAATTTGGACAGTTGTAAAACTTACTGAAATTGCTTCTATGACTAATGATACCTATTTCAATAGTCACATGTTTAAAAAAAATCCATTTATCATTTTTATAATTATAGGTCACAAAGTTTACACTAGACACTGACAGTACTCACGTTTGCAAGGCTGCATTGGTTGCATTGATGAGGTTTCTATCTGTTATCTTTTCCAGTATTAACAAGGCACTAGTTTCATGACCCTAAAATTGTGGCAAATAGTTATAAAAACTTGGGCACCATTAAAGATAAATTTATACACCCAAAAATCCACAACCCTAGTCCATATAATATGTACACCACTATACATATGCCATGAATTTTCCTGGCCAATATCTTAGTAGTTGCCAAAACACATCTTGGGAGTGAGGGTAGGAGAAGAGGACAAAATTAAGATTAAAGAAAGAGGATAATTATGTGTTTGTGTTCCAAAACGGCTTACTGGAGACTTCGATACGCATGGTGCCTAGTAAGTCAATAATTTTGTTCAAGAAATCTAATACTAGTGATCATTAGAGAGGTTTGGTCCTGAGTTGTGTTCATTTCAGTGAAGTCAAAAAACTTTTAATGACACTGTTAATATTAACAATAAAAACATGTTCTTAAAATGTATACATACCTTGCTACAAGCCAAATGGAGGGCAGTATTTTTACTGTTATCTTGTAAAGTCAGATCTGCACTAGCACTGCTAACCAGCATCTCTGGGAGGAAAAAGTGCATCAATTCTTATGTTTATGAACATGTTTCTTAGATTACCAATAACTCACTGTAGAGAAATGAAGATACAAAGCAAAAAAGTCCCTCTCACAAAAACTTAAGTACAAGAAAAAGACTGTAATATGTAACATATATCTTCATATAATTGCTTGAGACAATTATACTGTTATATAAGTCACGCACACAAACAATGGCAATTAACATTTATTTTGTGACTGTTCACTAAACTTAAAATACTATTTTTTATGCTCTGGATTTATAGTAATTTATTTAACCCTCACAACAACCCACAAAGTGATACTGTTATTTTTCTCATTTTATAAATGAGAAAACTGAGGCATAAGGTCACTTAGCTGGAAGATGTAGGACTCACATTCAGGCAATGCAACTCCAGAGCCAGTGTTCTAACTGCTAGTAGAGGGCCATGGCAAAGCAGACTCTTTAATCGGTAAGGGCAAACTAAAACTTGTATCTCTAAATGAAAATGTGGATTGCAAACAGGTAAAAGGTTTTAAGTCTTAGGAGTGGTAAGATAACTAGTTGAAGTCAGAGGTCTTGCGATCTAAGTTCTATGTAATATACATACTTAGGAAAATAAAATTTTACAGAAGTTTCTTTACCAACTGTATTTGTTTGTCCATTTTCTGCAGCCATCATAAGAGGTGTTTTCCCAGTAGAGTCCACAGAATTGACTTGAGCATTATGGCTGAGCAGCAGCTGCAAACACTCGACATGGTCTGTGAAGGCAGCTGCATGGAGAGGAGTTCTGTAATAAAGAGAAATTGAAATACATGACTAAATTAGAATGTTATATACCCTGGAAAAAATATTCTTTTATTTATGACAAGCAGTTTTCAAGGGTTTACATATTAGGCTGTAAAAGCACAGCCTGTATACAAATAGGCTCAATAGAGCTTACTAATTTCTCCCATAGAAATGTGTACTTTCAGTAATATAGAAGGCCTTAATTAAACTAGAACAAGTATGAAGATTACAAAATTGCTAAAATAATATTACATTAAAGAAAATTTTGAAAGAAACAAATCCTGACCGGAATACTGCCACCTATTGTAACTGCTGAATGTTTATTCCTATTTAGAAAACTGTTAACTTTGTTAACAATGATCTTTGGGAAACAGAACTTCTAAAGAAAGGGGAAAATATGGTCAGGCATGGTGGCTCACACCTGTAATCCTAGCACTTTTGGGAGGCCAAGGTGGGCAGATCATGAGGTGAAGAGTTTGAGAACAGCCTGACCAACATGGCGAAACCCTGTCTCTACTAAAAATAAAAAAATAGCTGGGCATGGTGGCATGCACCTGTAATCCCAGCTACTCAGGAGGCTAAGGCAGGAGAATCGCTTGAACCCAGAAGGTGGAGGTTGCAGTGCGTTGGGCCAAGATCATGCCACTGCACTCCAGCCTGGGTGACAGAGCAAGACTTTGTCTCTAAATAAATAAATAAATAAATGGGAAAATATTTACATTTCAAAATAGTTTAAAGGAGGAAAACTGCCTAAAAGCTATTCATAGAAAAGCCTTTTATAAGGTAAAAATAATTGAGATCTTAAAACAATTTATACTTGCAAATATAAAAATAAACTTTTAATTAGTAATGGGTTTTCTATAAATTCTCTCATACCAGGCCAGCAGTTAAAATTTATTTCTTCTTGAAAATAAAACTTTTTTTGGGGTAGGGCAGAGATGGGGTCTCACTCTGTCACCTAGGCTAGAATGCAGTAGTGCAATCATAGCTCACTGCTGCCTTGAACTCC